GGTCTTGGTCGGTCATAATCTTAAAGAGCCGAAATATATGTACCTCAAATCAGCGTATCAGATAATTGCGAATAGTCCGAAACTATACCATGAAAATATTACATTCCAATCTTTGAAACCCGATAAAATTCCTAAGGTAGATTCATTTTCTCCCAATAGGGGTACAGTGGCTATATTCGAAGATGTATGTACTGATCCGAAAAAAGTGCAGGAGAAAATTATTCCTTATTTTGTTGAAGGACAACATTATAACATCAGTTTAATATATGTATCCTAGAGTTACTTTGACTGTCTGAAGATAATACGAAAAAATCTCACACACGTCTGTTTGTTTAATGGGTCATATACTACAGATGAACTAGTTAGAATTGTGCGTCAATATGCCAATGACTAGCGTAGTGTGATTAAAATTATTGACAAGTATTTATGTGAGCAAAAATTCATTGTTTTCGATTTAACTGTACCCGCGAGCATCCTCACAGGATATGCGTTGGTTGGGACCAAGTTTTGGCCCAACTAATGAATAGAGTTTAGTTATTCATATATGTTGTTGCGCATCTACAAAATAATCGAATAAATAAATTAACTAATTCCATTTACACTTATTTGAGAACCATCCCAAATAAGTCTTTCTGCTTTAAAAGAACAACTTACATTCAAGTCATACAACTATTGATAATAAATTTTACGTTAAAAAGGCATCTTTATTATGTTTAAAAGGCTTGTATAATACAACAACATCATCTACTGTCTTAAGAACCTTTAGAACAAAAATGCGTTTATGTTTGCAATACTTGAATACAGATCTTGTGATTTCGGCATTCCCAGCAACAAATCTAACATCGTTTTTACCAATAATCCCTTCAATCAAATCATCTTGAACAACCTTTTTCATGTGTTTCAACTTGATTTTCTTCTTGGGTTTCAAGATTCTACCCACACAAAAACGATCAAACTCGCTTAAAGGATTCAATTTTCCAAATACATGATCTTGATTTGGTTAATTGATACTGTTATTTCTGGTTTCACATGCAGTCTTATGCAAGCCACATGCGTCTAAATATACTCACCCAATCCTTCCATTCAACCTAAATTTGGAGTGACAAACAATACCCTAATACGTTTTGATTATGATCTACTAATAAAAGACATGAATTGTTATAAAAAAATGCTGTTTTTACACCGTATAATCCCAATTTTTTTACAAAAATTTCTCAGATTTTCTAGGATCTACATGTTTTTAACTATATTTTTTCTTATCATCTCAATTCCTATTATTCTACAGTACATTATCGAACACAATATGGAAAATCCAGAGCAAATTACAATTTTGACTAGGTCTTCATCTCTAAATGTTGAGATCAACAGTCAACCGGACAATCCACCAACATACGAAGAGGCTGTTGCTAATACTTCTTTAAGAACTTCTGGTATATAAATCTAACAAATTTTATTATTTTTAACTTTAAAATTTTTTGTAATTTTACAAACAAATAAAACCAAATTTTACTAAAATGCCTTTGGAATATGCAGAAGAAATTGAAATTACCCAAAAAGTTACGAGCTCTGATCGAGGTAAGTTTTAATTATTTGTTTAATAATTTTATTCTTTTGTTAATATTTTTTATTTTTAGAGTTAAGAAACTTCTTAACAGAAGGAGTAACAACCGCACTTCAACCATATGCAAATAGAATTCTCTAGAAAAAACAATCGTGTCTTTAAATAATACAATAAAGACACTTTCAAAAAATAATAATTTTTTATTTTTTATTATTTTCTTTATCTTATTTTGGTTTGGTTTTTATTTTTATTATACCAGGAATATTTATCATGAGAACTATCAACTCCATTCGGATCGAGTTGAAGTTTTGCAACAGAAAAAAATTTTTTTAAATAATTTAAAAATGTTTAAATTTAAATTTTTAGATTTCATGGATAAGTATATAGAATCTTTTAGTAATGAGAATAAATAGCTTGGGCTGTTTGTTTTCTGATTAGTTTTCTCTGTTCATGATGTGTATGAAACTAAGAATTTTAGTTTCATACACATCTTGAACGGAGAAAATTACACTATAATATATATATTTTATTCTTATTTTATTTCTTTATTTTTAATAAAATTTATTGAAATTAAAAACAAATTTGACTGAGTTGAGGTGTTTCTAAATGAATAATGAACTGCTTCTCGGTGTCTAGGTGCCCCTGACCCCGATAACAGCTGCGTTTATTTTCTGCCTAACCGGCCGTTGGCAGAAAATAATGCAACTCTATACCGGTATTCAATATACCCTATACTCCCTTTCACTCTCCCTCTATGAAATGGCCCATAGAATGGGTGTAGTGGTTGTTGTTGTTGTCCTGCAGACGGCCTTTTTGCTGCTGAAACTTTGATGTAATCGACAAGCGATACCATCTCCTTCGTCGACGTAACGCTCGTCGATCGCACAAAGTTTGTTGGTGAACTAGAGGCCAGTTCACGGTTGTAATTTAGAAAAAACATTTATTTTTTTGTGATAAATATATATTTTTATTTGATAATAATTAATAAAAATAAAATAAAATAAAATATAAACATAAATAAAATAATAAAAAAATAATAATAAAAATATAAAAAATAAAATACACAGTTTAAACTCTCTTTTTCTTTGCAACATATATGAATTCTAAAGAATTTTTCTATTCTTCTACTTGCTGCCTTGTGTAGAATTTCTTAAACAAGGCACCTGAGCAACTATTAACCTGCTCCTGACATTCCTCCCAAGATGTGAAAATCCCAGATTTATGTCCTTTTCTAACTGCATAATAACCTAAAGTTGAATAAAAATTAAGCGACATTCTATAGTCATTTCATGGGAGATATAAAAGAGAGCATAGGGTATATTGAATACCAGTATAGAGTTAAGTGAGAGTTAGTGAATGTGAATGATCGGATGATAAACAGCAAGACACAGCAACGGCTCTCTCACCTTGTTAAAATTATTAATTAAAAATTAACTGAGTAATTTAAAGTCTTTATATATTTTTTTATAATTATGGGATTAAAGAAACCGGTTTGAAAGAACTGAAATAAGCATGAATCTGACGCGTATTGAACCAATAATATTTGCGATAACAAAGACAAATTCTCAGATTTGCAAAGTAAAGTTTATTTAACGTTAAAAATTTTTGACAAAGATGCCTTATTGAATTTACAAACTCAACACAATCAAAATACAATAATACAAGATGAAATTTTTTAAAAAACTCTTAAAACTCTTCAAGAAAACTCAAAAATAAGAAGATAGCTGGGATAATATTTGCGAAAAAGTTGAGTCTTGGTCAACAAAGTCAACGGGCGATAAAGAAGATTCTTTTGAAGCCACCTTACCACTCGTTGAATTTGATAATCAATTCTCTGTAATTGATCTGAAGTTTTACACAAGATACGAAAAATATCTTGATGATGTGAGGAGAGAAGATCCTGAAAAGTATGAAAAATTCAAGATGTATTTTTCATTTCTGGATGCACATATTCATAGTTACCATAATCTCTTTTATGATGCGATATGGTACTACAGTAAAGCAGGTGCATTTGACTTGTTGCTCTGGAGAAGAAAGCAATATGAAGAGGATTTTGAGTACATGATAGGAGTTTTGAATAAAAATTTTAGTTATATCTACCTGCTGAACTATAACGATTTGTTGGATTATGCTGAAAATAATTTAGTATTTTAAACGTAATTTTTGTAAATAATTTATTTATATTTATTTTTTGTAAATAAACGTGTGATTATGCATAAAGTTTCTGGTACATTCATGATTATGTTATAATGAATTTAAAATTAGTAATCTAATTGTATGCATGTGATTATAGTATAATTTCTTTTTGTAGATGATCAACCAGTCTACAATTAGTAGTTTTATTATGCGATCGACAGTACAAATAGACCCAGATGCATCCAATTTTGCGTTTCACCCTTTCGTTCTTTCCCATGATTGCGTGTTAAGACTGAGGAATATGAGTCTAAATATAAGCTAGCTGAGCTTTCCTCGCAGTGACTGACACGTAAGATATCCGGGTTCTTTATGAGAACTTGGAGAAGAGTACTCATCTTCTCACGTCTTCATAGGAAGGAGAAACCGGTCAATTTTTTACCACTTCAGATGGTCATTATTAAGTTTTGGCCATGCCCTCCACCTCGAGAGCGAACGAAAAACTTAGTGTTTGCATTTTAAATGCACCTTGAGAAACGTCTCGAGGAACGGATGTGTTTAGGCTTTTTTCTACCATAGAGATTAAAAAGCACTCTCAAATGTTAGTTCATCTCGGGGCATACTACATGGATTCACCAGTTGAATCCTTAGGCTTATAATGCTAAGATGTGACTCGGTACACTGATATTTAGGCTTTTGGCAGCTGTACCTGAACTATAAAAGTCAAAATTTACATGAGTTTTACAATCGTGGTTATTGTTCATTCATGGCTTGGGATCCGAACATAATCTCCCTAGTAATTTGGATTTACATCCGAATTGATCGTTTGCTCTTTGTTTTTTTAGAGTCAAGTGAATATGTAACCTCCTTGTGGTTCGACTCGGACAATGCGTTTTTATTTTAGAAAACGTAGCTAATAACATATCAAAATAAAATTCCAACAATTTGATTAAATTTTCCTGTAATTTTGATTTAAAAGTTTGTAATTTTACCAATTTTCCATATTTTGTAACCTATTTTCCATTGTAAATATAAAGTTGAATAAAAATTAACCAAGTTAAGATAGATCCAACACATAAAACCAAATGTACAAGTTGTATGATATGCAGAGATCTTAGAATTAAATGCGTAAAGGTTAAAAAAAACGAATGCTGTCGAAGATGTATCAAGAAGAATCTGGATTGTTTATTTTTCAAACCCCAACATGTAAAATATGAGATAATCAGACTAACAAAACTAGTAAATCAATATAAAGAACGCGTTATTGAGTTAGAAAAAAGAAACTTTCAATTAGAAAAAAATGAAAAGTTAATCAAAGAAATACTATACGATTATTCTGATAAAAAGACAGAATTGGAAAAGATTTACAAGAAAAAGTTATAAAAACAGGACAAAAAAAACTCTCTGAGAAACAAAGAAAACAAAATGCCACTTGTATTTTCAAAAATAAACAATGAGCAAGAAGAAAGCTGCATACAACCAGCCGAAAAGCTGTTTAACACATACCTGAAAAGAAACGATGTTGCATATAAACTAAGTCACCGATTGTTAACGGTTTTAAAAAAAGAAACGAGAGAATTTCTCAATAATTTTGACCTCGAAGACATCAAACAATGCTATCAAGTAGAGAATTATATCTTTATTAACTGCTTGTGTTGTTCAGAATTATTCATTGAGGACATTAACGATCCAAACATAATTGAGAAATTGTGTAATGAATATTCTTGGTTATTTGATAAAAAATAATAATAAACATTTATTTGTATAAAAAATATTTTAATCAAGCTTTACATGTTTTTCTTTTTCTCTATCTTCTATTTCTGTATCATCTAGTTTACGTTTAGTGCTTGATTCTATTTGTGGTTCTAGTACTATCAATTCTATATTATTTTCAATAAAATTAATGGGCTTTATGTCAACCCAATGCAATTTTTGATGTAAATTCTTATGCAATGATTCTATATTATCTGGAATAATGATATTGGAAGGAAGATCAGAATTCTAATACTGATTGTAAATGGTAAACTGTGATTGTCAATATCTACATTTCCAATCACGCCACCCAATACTACATTCATGTCTATCTCTCGTTTCATGAAAACATCACCATCATGTTCATACAAATTCTCAAAATCATCATCGTAAATGTATTTCTTTGCTTCTTCTAGAGTAATATCTTCCGCAAACTTAATATCGAATCTACCATTAATAAAATCTAACAAATCACCTGGTTGATCAGATTCCAACCAGGTAAAACCATAATTAACCTTTCCATCAACATATCATTCCAACATCCTGATCATGTAGCCATGAGTATAAACTAAAGATTTTGAAAATCTTCTATGTAGAGCTATTCTCGACTCCACACTTTTAACATGAACTCTATTATCAAAAAAATATTTTTTAAAGCTGAATATATCATCAAACAAATCTTGAGCCGTAAAAATATTATACTTTGACACAACCTCTATAGGTTTTTTGTTTCGTTGCTTGATAATGTATTCATCTTTTTCACAAAGATTCAACAGATCTTGAAACTTCCAAGTATCATGTGATAGCTCTTGCTTGCAAATAACTTCTTGATTATTATATTCATCGAAATATTTTGAATCATTTGCTTTCTTACAAATATCTTTTCCTTTTGCTAATACCTTGCTTATTTTTTGAATTAATGATGTTTTTCCGGATCCAGAATCACCATAAAACAAGAAATTTTTTGGGTAAAACTTTTTTTCTGGTATATGTTCTACTCTATTTTTTAACTTTTCTAAATCCTTTGAGAGTGCTTTCAAACCTGAATATGTATCAACATAGGATGTTGGTATATCTTCTAAATTACTAATAATATCGATATTTGTTGATCCAACACTAAGATTATCTATAATTTTTTGTTTTTTGTACTCATTATCTAGTCTAATTTCATTAAGTTTATTAGCTGTATCATCTGATGAGCTTTCTAATACACGAAATTTTCCAAAAATAAATGGTCCAGTATCTTCCTCATCTAACAATTCTTTCTTTCTTTTTTCAATGCAAGATCTCTTACAAAAAGTACATTTACTAATATCTTCCTTAACAGAAAGACTACATTTGCAATACTTTCCTTCTTTTGGTTTGTGGTAGATAGCACAACGGCCCCAAATTTTCAACACATAATCCTTATTATCTTTTGATGTTCCTTTACATAAAACCCCAGGTGGAAAAGAAATTCTCTGACAATCAACCAGTTGCTTTACAAACTTCATAGTTACTCTTCTTACTAGAGCTGCAAACATTTAGAGATCCAAGGTAGTACGTCACTCCTTACGTCATATAAAATTTATATATAAACATAGTAAACGTCACGTCACATACGTCACGTCAAACGTCATAGTAAATGTTAATTGATATTCTAATGTCTGCAGCTCTACTTCTTACAAATGTCAAAACACAATGTGCGTGAAGTTTTTCTTTCAAATTTTGCTACAGATCTTGTCAAGCCAGCTGCTTCTAATGCGTTAAACTCTTCTTGTGTTCTTGGAAAAGGCCATTTGCATTCGATTCCACATTTTTCACAGTTAGAACATTTGATTTTATTGCATGTATTTAACATGCAACATTGTCGACATTTCTCATTCTTACAATGGTTGTGATACAATTTACATAATCTACACTTCGGAAGAATACCAGTCTCTTCAAATTCTTTTTCTCTTTTTTTTCTTTCTTCATTAGATACTTGATCCTTCTTCTTACACTGATATTTTTTTAGACATTCAATACAATGAAATGATGTTGTTAAAGTAAAAGTAAATTTTATTCCACTCATATTTGTTTTTAGTTTAATATTTATTTTTAATTTAAATTTGTCATAAAAATTACACAATTAAAGCCTTGAACGGTTCGAAATTTCGAACTATTCAAGGCGATTTTATTAAACAAATAATTATTTTATGTTTGTTATACATGGATTGTTTTTTACTAATGAATCAATATTATATTTTTTAAAATCTAGCTTGTTTATTTTTTTAATTTCAGCCTTGTAATATATATCAATTAAATCAACATCAAAAAGAGTCTTGATGCTTGTATCAAATTGTCGATTGAAAACAAGATACACATGAATGCTTTTTTCTTCTTGATAAATGAGATACGAACGAATGATTATATTATTTTCTATACAAATGAATCGTAAATGTTGAAGTATATCTTCCAAATCGAGTTCACATTCGTTGTATATTAAATACATTACTCTACAAAAAATACGAAATTTTTGTGTCATTGTTTTTTGATGATTTTGTTTTTTCTCGACGGATACGTGATCTATTTATAGTATTTTGAATGTTAAAATGACTGACGCACCTAGATAGACAATAAATTAGACAATAATTATTAATACATACGAATAAGAATGAAAAAATGTTATAACTTCACCTAATTAATTCCAAATTTTATAAAATTTCATCTGACAAAACTTGAGAATATGCTTGACAACTCTTGTTAGTGTGCAGTTACATGTTTAACATAAACTTGTAAAAATCCAACAATGGTACCGTGATTTTTCGTCGCGTTTTCATCAAAAACGCAGAACGTCTATTGGAAGTGTAACGTAAAAATTCGATATCTCCACGAGTTTTCATCCGTTTGATCTCGAATTTTACAGGCGAATAGTCGAATATCATCTCTAAAATCTTTGTTAGAATTGTACAACATATTTCATTTTACTGTTGTATCCAAATTGATCGAAACGTTCCTACAAACAAAAATAAAAAATTCGTTATTACTTCTTGATACAAAAACGTCGATAACTTGACGAATACACATGCAAACAAGCTGAAAATTGAGATTCTAGCTCTTGAAAACTACCCGAACAACTTTGATTAGAAGCGTAAGGTTGTTTCATCTTGACAAAATGGTCTTCTGATCGATTAAAGTTGAGTCGGCAATTTGCGAAAAACATATAGACGAAACAAAGACAAAAACGTAAATATCTCCGCGAATATCTAACGAAAAAGGCTAAAAATTTAGATTCGAATAGTCCGATATCGCATCTATAAGTTTACCTAGAAGCGTAAAGATGGTTTTGTTGTGAGAAAGTTGTCAAAAGTCACGTTTAAGTGTGGGCTATCGTGACGGAAAAACTAAAAAAGGATAGACGTTCACCTTAAAAATTGTTTTTTTTTAACTGTAAATATATGTTTTTTTATGTAGATCATTTTTAGGCAAAAAAATGGCCCATAGTCAAAAAAATGGCCACTAGTAAAATCATATAGTAAATTATGGGTAAAAAAATGGCCACTATTAAATTTGCCGATCTTTACTATGAAAAACAATTAGTAAAATGGGTAAAAAAATGGCCGCTATTTTTGAGTTGGGTATATATGTAGATCTTTTCAAAATTTTGTTATGTTTTTTTATTAGTAAATTAGTGTTAAGATTTTGAATCTTGCAAAAAAAGGCCAAGATTTTTCAAAAGCGTCAAGCCCACAAATTCCCGTGTATTGCCTCGATGATCGGTCTCGGCAAACATGTCCATTTTGGTTTGACGCCAATTGTCAATGCGGCGTAGTGAATTTCGTATGTTATACGCATTCTTACTACTGCGTTGACGAAATGGAATTTAACGTGATTTCTATTTACACATGACTCAGGTATGTTGTACCATTATGTGACATAGAGCTAACTAATTCTATTTATACTTATTTGGGAACCATCCCAAATAAGTCTTTCTGCTTTAAAAGAACAACTTAAAATAAATTATTAAATATATCTCGTCAAATACCAACTTGAAATATTCCACGAGCATTGCCCATATCAGCTAATTGTTTATAATTAGTGGATGTTTTATTCATTCTTTTCAACCCCAATTCCATTTTGATAACAATTACCGACTTCATACCTTCCATCAATATTTCAGTGGAGAATTGATACATATACTGTAGTTATCGATATGTACCAGAAAAGAAGCTGAGAAAGTGTTGATAGAAGTTC